CCCCCCCATTTCCACAGCAGGGACAGTTCTGTCTTAGCTCGCTGGCTCGCTGTCAGGAGCCAGTGCCCCCCCATTTCCACAGCAGGGACAGTTCTGTCTTAGCTCGCTGGCTCGCTGTCAGGAGCCAGTGCCCCCATTTCCACAGCAGGACGGTTCTGTCTTAGCTCGCTGGCTCGCTGTCAGGAGCCAGTGCCCCCATTTCCACAGCAGGACGGTTCTATCTTAGCTCGCTGGCTCGCTGTCAGGAGCCAGTGCCCTCCCATTTCCTTTTCCCTCCTACCGCCACCTCGATTTTCTACTCCAGATCCCGATTCCCTGTTGCTCCCGTGAGTACAGTGGTGCCCCTGTATATGAAGACACTGTTTTCTGCCCTGCACATTCTGAGCTGTGTCGGTTTCACTGTTTGTCTTTGGCCAAGAACGCCTGTGACACTCTGTGATTCTCTTTACCTGGTGCCCTGCAGGGTTAAGCATTTATTAATAATGATGGCAATGAAGGTGACTAGCTCGGGCCAGCAAGTCAGAACCTTTGCCTCCTGTGTCTTAAGGCAAATGGCCCTGCAAGGGAGGCAGACGTGAGAAAAAGTCTTACTTTCTATTAAATACTTAATAGTATTCTTTTTTTTTTTTTGCAATTTTTGGCCAGGGCTAGGTTTGAACCCGCCACCTCCAGCATATGGGGCCGGTGCCCTACTTCTTTGAGCCACAGGCGCTGGCCCTTAATAGTATTCTTTAGAAGCTAAATTTGGGCTTAGTATACAGACTGGGTTTTAGGAAGTCCTTTAAGTGACCACGTGTGCCTCACCACATTTAGCAAAGTTCTGAGTAACTTCCTCCCCGTGAGCTGTAACCTACAGCTACAACTCCAGCCACTCAGACCGTTTCCTTCTCCTTGTTTGTTTCCCTCACTTCATTTCACTCCTAGTGTTAAAGAGTCAGGAGACGTGAGAGCCACCACAGGGCTACGGGAGGCTGTGGGTATTGGGCTAAAAGTCGGCAAATCGCATGTCTATATAGAGTATCAAAGTTTGTTCAGTCACTGCAAAATAGGCCTGATCAATGGTAGAATTTATAGCAACTCAATTATTTTTCAATAACTGGTGGTATTTTAAATTAATATTGTTTGGCTTCACTGTGAGAATCTACACACCGATTTAAAAATACAAGAACCTACAGCATACGTGGACCTTTGTGCTAATCTCATGCTTTAATTGTTCTTTAACTTATTCTGATATAATCATAGGACTTACTTGATTCAAGAATGAGAATGAATTCCAAATAAAGCTATGCTGACTTGGTGTTTGTAACGACTTTCTCTTTCGACGTTTATGTTTAGAAGATAAATTCCCTACTTGGATATTTTCTGTACGCTCTTATTCCTGGGTGTCTGTTTGAAGGGTTTTGTTTTGTTCTGTTTCTCCTTTAATTGGCTGCACAGGAAGATCCATCCTGCATTGTGAGTTCAGCACTTTCTTCACTGCCCGCCGCACATCCCATTGTCTGTGCACACGCAGCATGGCCAGCGCCACACCCGCCTCCTGTCCTGTGCAACCAACCGCTAGAGCACAGCAGCCCCTCCGCAGAGCATGCACGTGTGTCCCACATCTGGCCCAGGGTGGAGAGTGGAAAGGCCGGCGACCCCCAGGGGCACTAATCGGTTTCCTTTTCCTCTCGGTTTCCTCGTTCCAGATACTGCAACGAGCATTTGCTATGTCCCCCACACGTGTTCTGGACGGGCTGGGGTCCTTGGGAGCGGTGCACAGCGCAGTGTGGCGGTGGCATTCAAGCTCGCCGCAGGACCTGCGAGAACGGGCCCGACTGTGCAGGCTGCAATGTGGTGAGTAGCCTGCTCCTCTCAGGCACCCAGCAATCTGGAGCCCAGACCCAACCCCTCGGGAATTCTCCCTGCAGGCCAGCTAAAGCGAGGTGCTCTTCAAACAATCAGGTACCAAAGGCTTAGTCATCAGATGGTCCCCACACAGTAGGCGCCCTGTGGGCCCGAGATGCTCTCCACACTGGCTCTTCCACAAACTTGAGAACCGCCGGAGACACTCGATGGCCTGCACACAGAGAGTGTTCTGTGAGCACGGCCGGGCAGCCACGGGGGCTCTGCCCAGAGACTGTCAGGGAGGATGTCTGAGTTCCACGCTGGGGATGCAGAGCCTGAGCTCTTCCTTAACCAAGGATTTACGTGTGGGATACAGTGTCTAGGGGCTTTTCAGTTCCGATTTCTGAGCCATGGTGAAAACTTCAGCCTGCTTAACTGTGGTCACTGTATTTGGTTTGGATGTGGAATAATGTCCCCCTGCTGCGTCCCCACCAAGCAAAGAAGCCCTGGGAAGAATCTGACACTCGAGAGTGAGAAATTAGAAGGAGCCATGTCTGGAGTGAGTCTCTGCCAATTCGGAGCTAGTAAAAGAGAACTTAGGGTTTTGTTTCTCTCCTGCCTTAGCAGGTTATACTTCTTTTAACACTTTCAACTGTCCCATAAAACTCCACTGACTCCCGCCCTTTTGCTAAGGCTCATCCTGTGTAAGAGCAGCGGAGGCTGACACCTGCCAGGCCTTCCCTTCTCCATTTCTCCCTGGTTCGAGCACCACAGAGGGCACAGGCATTGCCCAGGGTTGTGGTGGAGAAACTCAGGAGGAGCAGGTCCAGCCCGGCGTCCCTTCCTGGCCAGTCTTTCCCATTGGTTTTTGTAGCACTGTTGTCTCTTGGTGTCTGAGGCAGGTGATGTTTCTGTGCTGCTGTGAAGCCTGTTTTTGTGAGATGCAAAAAGCACACAGCCCAGACAGGCTCGGGGACTATCAGGAGAGCAAGAGTGTGATGAGAGGCTTTGTCAGACACTGCGCCGGGCCCAGGGAGATGATTTTGTTGGGATTTGCAATTAGATTTCTTCCTCTTCACACTAGCAAAGGTTCGATAGTATCTCTAATAGAACTTATTATTGATTATAGAGACCACTCTTTCTAGATCCGCCTGAACAGCAGACTATGAAAATTTTAGTGTAGAGATTAAGATTGTATATTATCAACACTTCAGATGTTGACATGTAAAACTGTTGGTTTTAAATAATTTTAAATGGGAACATCTATGAATACTCACATTTTCTAAAAAAAAAAACATTCAAAGGGGGTAGTTTTATTCTTTACCAAAGTACATTGTCTTCTGTTCCTGGTGGTGTGAAGTCTGTCCCCCGAGGTCTGCACGCCCACATCAAGGTGTGTTTCACCTGCTGGGAACCCAGAGGATGAAGTGTCTGAGTTGACTTTGTACTATAGCTTCTAAACACTGTGTAGTATGGAGAATGCAGAAGACAGTTCACACCATCTATTTTTGCATTGAAAAACAGTTCAATGAAGGAAAAAAAATTTACATTAACCAAGAGTGAAGCAATATCCTATGTAGTTACTAGGATGTGTGTGTATGTGTGTGAGACATTTGATCATAAATGCAAAAAGTTTTCTAAAATGTCCATGTATTTATTGCTTTATTTATTACAGAATTATGGGTTATGAAACAAATGTAATCTCAGCTTTAAAATCTAAACCCTATCACTCATCTTTCCAGTGAGATTACTGCCAGTTTTTAGGTAATTTGTGGTTTTGCTTTCCTTTCTGTTTTTCCCACCAAACTTAATCCACTCGCAGTCTATTTTCAGAGGGTGTGATTGTGGCACAAAGGAGCAAGGTGCTTCTTAGTGGGAGAAATGCATTTATTTTTACTCAGCACGCCTTTCTCTCTCTCTGTCTCTCTCTCAAGATGGGGTCTTGCTCTGTTGCCCAAGCTAGAACGTAATGGTGTGATTGATCATAGCTCATTGTAGCCTTGAACTTCTAGGCTCAAGCAATCCTCTCACCTCAGCATCCTGAATACATGTCTGCTGCCACACCCAGATAATTTTTATTAATTTTGTAAAAACAGGCCTCACTATGTCACCCAGCTGGGTCTCAAATTCTGGCCTCATGTGATCCTCCCACCTTCAGCTTCCAAAGTGCTGAGATGACAGGCGTGAGCCTCCCTGCCCAGCCAGTGTCTGTGTCTCAGGGCAGGAATGGCAGCCCGGGCCAACTGAGGAACGTAAGCAAAATGAAGGACCTGGAGGACCTGCTTGGTTTCTTTGGATGGCTTGGAAAATCTATTCTACCAATTAAATTCTTACAAAATTTATTTATAAATCACTGTTTTCTAACTGAAGAACCATTTTTATTCTTCATATGCGAGCTGTCATTCATCAATCTTTGAAAACAAAGTATGTTTGTTGTAGATGTCCTTTTATCCAGACAATAGCTGCTAACTTTAGGAGTCATGAAGTGATCGCCTGCTAGCCAGGATCTACCTGAGAAGCAAGGAGGTGAGATTGCAGACTCACAGTCTCCTTTTTGGACAAGGGAGTGACAGTTCCTCCCACCGTGAGCCACTGTGTCAAAGTTGTGACACTTTCAAGGTCTGACAGAAAGTCTCACATTTAAGCCATTTGTACTCTCATTTCTTTAATTGTTATCTCGAGGTTTCAGCTGCTTGTCTGAGCTCCAGCTTTATTAAAAATGACAGTCTTCTAATAAAATGTCATTTAGACAGTAAAGTACCTGTCTGTGGAAAGTATAGGAACCTGAGTTTCCTGAATGCTACAGCAGCTTATAAGTGGGTCATTACAAAAGTTTTGAGATACACAAAAATCAAGAAATATAAAATCCATGCAGGTGGAAACAAACAAAGATCTCCCAGCAACACCAATAAGCCGAGGAAGCAAGCTGAAAATCACACAGGTGAATCAGAAAGGACACCATCAACAGGATTTCTTGGAAGTGAAATAATGAACCATAACATAGTCTGTCTCAAAACTTTTGTAGTGACCCATGTATGCATAGAAAGGGTTGATGATTTCATGTATGAACAGATTATAGAAAACTTGAGAGTCTTCCCTTGCTCTACCATTTTAGAACTGAAACTTCTTGAAGATTTCCCCAGTTTTACCTATAAAATTTGTACGTCCTTATCTCTGACTAAATCACCAAGACTTTATTTAAATCTCAACAGAAGAGATTTAGTTTGGACAGCAAAGGACCTTTTCCAAGAGCACTCAGTTCTTTGAGTAAAACCCATGTCAAGTTCCCGGGGTGGGAGGCTGGAGGAACCTGTTTGTGTTACTTTAGGAGCTGAGTAACAGGCACAGAGGGAGGACCTGGATCTCGGGCTGCCACTCAGTTGTGTGAACCTGAGACCCGCTCTCTGCTCTTGGGCTTCCTGTCCTTTCCCACAAAGTTCAGGGCCAGGTCCTCAAGTCACTGATTCTGTGGCCCTGGACCCTGGGATACATGCCTCCAGCTGGCTGCCACTTCTAGCGAATGTCCCTCTGTGACATCTGAGACCTCTAATGACCTTGGGAGATGAGACACACCAGGACACTAAAGAGCAGACAGGTACGCTCTACCTCCAGGAAATCACATGAGTCCTCCGGGTGTTACTGCCCTCCCCAGGTCGGCAGGTCATCCCTGCACACCTGCGGCTTCACAGAGCAGGTGGAAGGAGCAGCCCAGCAGGTCAGAGAGGCCCTGCCCTGAGTGTCCAGCTGCTGTGCCCAGTTGTTCTGCCTTTCCAGGTCAGTGTCTCCACATGAAACGTGGGCACTGACTCCTGACTGACACAGCTATATGGAAGATTACATGAATATGTGATATTCATATACATCCTAGCCCAGCACCAAATCAAACATTAACCTTCATAAAATAGAAATTATCACCATCACAGTTATTGACATTGTCCTATTTCTATTCGCATATAATATAACAACAGAAACAATAGCATTTTATATTTTATTACATTTTGAATTATTTCATATTACTATATTATGTATAGATGTTTCTACTAATAATTTGCACTAATATATAAATACTATTTATAGTTTACATCAATTATCTTTGGGATATTACATTTTATTTTTAACTGTTTTATTTCAGGTTAATGTGAGGGCACAAACAACTAGGTTACAAAATTTGCGTTTGTTAACTAGAGTCTCTCTCTCTGATTAACACACTGTGGTGTATGTAGACCATGGAATATTATTCAGCCATAAAGAACAAGGGAGACCTTGCATCTTTTGTGTTAACCTAGATGAAGCTGAAACACATTCTTCTTAGTAAAGTATCACAAGAATGGAAAAGCAAGTATCCAGTACACATTTTATTCTTAACCTATTTGGTAAGCATAGCCATAACAATACTTATCGGTTATTATTTTGATAATATTAACCATAACAATACTTGTTAGTCTTGCAAATCTCAATTTACTGGGTAATGTCAAAGTAAATATTGGCAGTTATAGTTGTATCACATTATAACTACACATACCGGAGTTATTTAGGCATGTTACAACAGCCTGAAATCCATACATATTAAAACAATTAACTTTTATTGAGTACCGAGGACACGCCAAGCGGGCACTTAGGGTAATTAAAATGTATCATGCTTATTCTCCCTGAGTCCCTGCCAGCAGTTTCATGAGTACCTCTACCTGGAGATGGGAACACTCAACCTGAGAAAGATTACTGAACTTGCCCAGGAGCAAGCGATTTGCTAGTGGGTATGGCCCAGCCTTTGAGAACTGGTTCACTGGGCACAAATGGAATTTAATGGCATGACTCTCTTTGCATATGCTATTTGCTCAGTGTTAAGTGACAAATGATAATACCAAACTTTTCTTTATTTAGGTTGAAGTATGTCTTAAGAGAAAGAGGAGGTTTTTGGCTTTTTGAACCTCTTCTCTCGTTCATTAGCCCCCTTGATTTTTATGATATTGTCACTTTCTTTCTGCCAACCCTGAGAGTACCAGTGGGAG